GCAATTCCACCATGAATATGGAACCTGCTAATGGCAGGTTACAGTAGCAAACACTTATCTTGTTCCATAAAAGAAGGATTTAGGTCATCATGTTAAAATCTGCAAAATATAAATTGAACACCAACATTAATTAGAACTACACAGTAAAACAAAATTATCTTTAGCAATCACACTTCAGCAGACTCAACAGTAATCAAGTGGAAAATAACAGAACTCCAAGAATCTGCAGATAAAGACAAACCCTCATAGTAAAAGTGCTGGCAAAACACTGGGGAGTTACAGAGATACCCAAGAGGCCCCAGAGGGAATAACCTCAGTCCAGCAGCTCCCAGATCAGGGCTAGCTCTGATATGCTCCTGAGCTAGTGAGGTGTTGCTGCCCTGCACTGTAATCCAGGCAGGCTTCCAGGCTGTCACTCAAGAGCAGGAAACCTGTTACCTGACCAGAGGCAATTCAGGTATCAATGTAGCCATAATAACAATGCGCACTTCAGCATTCAGCATTATGAGATAAGGGGAATTTCAATGTATCCATTATATGCTTTATCAAGTAAATCAAGTAATTCATTCACATATAGCAACTATTTAAGCACACATTTTCATTTAGTTTGTAACTGAAAGTGTAAAAGTCTTTGGAACGGAGAGTGAAGAGAACAGAGGTTATCCCCAAGAATTAAAAGCTATTTTTACTCCATGTTAATCTTTCTTCTTGCAGATATATTTAAGTCTCTTCTCTGCTTCACAACACTTAACTATATCCCTGACTGCACTTCTTGTTCAAAAAGGTACTTATAGACATTTTTTTTTTTTATTTTAGCCTCCATAGTTAGTTTAGCAGTAGTCAAGTTTTATGCATGTCTCAAGACATGCATTCAAACCTCACTATATCCCAAAGAAATGCAAGACTGCAGCATCACAGTTTTGTCAGGAACACACAGGTGGTCAATGTTGTCTAGATGAGTTATTGGAGATCCTCCAGGAATTTGGTTTTGTTTCATTATCTAAAAAAACAAGACTCCACACCAGAAATGCCTACAAGGCCACTTTCTACAAACATCCATTTCACAGCCTACCATAACTTCAACCTCCCAGTCCTCTAAGCAGTAAAAATCTGGTGCTTCCAGCTTTGTTGCCTGTCCTATCTTCTTACGGTATTAGGTTAGTTGACTTACCAAACGTAACTGTAAGCAGCGGTAGGTTTAGGAAACGATGTAAGGGATTAAATCATCTCATGGAAGTGGGGAATTCTCAGTTAAGCTATGGGAGACGTACTTCAGAACAAACATTTATTGAAGCCTCTCCTACAAATCTAAGTTTATCTTGCCAAAAACTTTATGCCTAGTGAATAAAAGAAATTGTACTTCACCTCAGAAATCTACTGCCGATTGGAAATGCTATGTGCACATGCTGATGGAGAAGTCCTTTCTAAGCAAATGCACAGTTTATCTAATTCCACTGGGGAAGAAGGCTAAAGAAAAGGAAAAAGAGCAAACACCATTCATGTTAAGAAATTCTGTAGACTTAATACAACTTGTTATTCTTCTAGCTAGTACTTTTTAACCCACTCCCTACCTTGAGGGAGGTAAATTTCTTTCAGCTGCGTGGGTCCTTCTCACCCATTAAACTGCGCATTTGATTCAGTTGTTCCCATGGAAGTTTCTGCTTTGAGGAATTTTAAAAATTTGAGTGGATTTATGTGGGAAGAGTGCAGAATTCCTTCAATCCTTTGGATTCCTGTAGGCATCTCTGGTGCTAATATATGCTAGCTATATTAAAAAGGAAGACATCAAAGAAAGCAAACAGTAAAAACTACTTTTTAATCTCATCATCATAAAAATAGCTGACAATGTACTTGCTGCCATAACACACTAGATACAGTATTCCAGGAGAAATTTACATTTACCATAAAGAAAAAGTTGACACTGTTGCAAGTTTCAGAAATGTAGACACTAATATAATGTCCCTTACAAAAACAGAAAGAAGTCTTATAAGGCTATTCAAACTATAAAACCAATATTTCATATTTTAATCAAATAGAAGCCACCAGTATCTTTCAAATGCAGACTGGCAACAATGAGATCTCTTTTGCTTAGCAACAAAGCAGTATCATTTGGCATTGTCTGTTTCATTGACACCCCTCAGAACTACTCTTTCTGTGAAAACTTTTTTTCCTGAAGAAAGTACCTTCAAGAGAAAGCAAAATCCCTATGCAGAAAAACATGTAATGCAAATTGAGACCTTTGCTTCTGTTTCTGTATCCTTTCTTTGTCCAGGAACTGTTGAAGTGGCAGAAACATTCACATTCTTCTTGGTACTTACTAGTCAAACCTCAGATTTAAAAAAAAAAAAAAAAAAAGAAAAAGAAAAAAAGAGATACTTGTGACTCCACAGATAGGACTTCCTCAGCTTACTACACACAAGTGAAGTCCAGTCTGATTAAGGGAGTTCAACTCCTAGAGTCCCACTGATAACATCCATTTATATTATTATTTTTAGAGCACCCAGGGTCACCTAGTTAGCATTTCAAGCACTGCCATTCAAATATGAAACAAAATTAGAGGTCAAACCCTTCATGTGGTAATTGGTGGCAAAACTGCAAGATCATAGTTAAAGGCTGTATTGTTTCCAAACAAATAATGAGGAAACAAGACTAGAACAAGAAACAAAACAAAAGAGAAGCTGGGAAACAAAAGTTTCAGGAAGACCGACAAGGAAGAATTTTATGAAGATGCAGACTGTAAGATATATGACTGCCTCCCCCATTACAGGGAGAGGAAATTTATGCCACTGCAAAGTTTATATAAGTAGAATTCCTGAACATTAAATCATACTTAGAGCAGGAAAGCAGCAGGGAGCAGAAGCCGTATAACTGATAAGGAAGAAAGTCAGCAAGAACATAGAGCACAGAACAGATACTTTCCTGAGAACTCTAACTACCAAAGCATGACTTGCCTTCACATATTTCATTAATCTCAGAACTGAGAATGTGAAGCTCCAGCTGAGGCTTCTCCTACATTCAGATGATTTATGGAGTTCTCTTGCCCCTCCTCAACGTACATTTCCTGTTATACAGTAAAACCTAAACTCATTCTTGTACTCTTTCCTTCCCTGAAGGCACCCCCTCTATTTCATTTACCTTACCAAAAACGAACTACCTGCACTTCTGTAAAACTTACAAAAAAACAGACAGAAAAAATTTTAAAAACCACTAGGAAGGATGAGGATCAGTCAAAACTTGCTTATATAAGCTTTGTTTCCAGAGAAAACCAGCCTAAGAGTTTACTAGCCCACTAGTCTGTCAAGAAAACAAAAAGGACTGAAAACATTTGACTTCTTGTAGGTTGTTTAACAACTGAAGACACAACACAAACTTGCAAGTGTGAGAAAAGTATGAATAAGATTACATCATAAACCAACAGAAAACACCCAGAGTTTATTCAACTTCTACATCAGAAGCAGTTCTACAATGTAAGAGCACTCAAGGATTGCTGGCTCCTTTTACACTAATCATCTAACTCCAGTGAGTATCTCTCTTTTAAGGATGTCTGCCTCATTAGTACAGTTAGATGATAGACTTCAGCCTCTTTACTACAGCAGCATCCAGGCTGGCTCAAGCCTCTTTCAGTAGCAGATGGAACCAAGTATTTGACTCAGCACTGAAGCAGATGAAGAGTGATCACATAAATCCATTTGCTACACAAGTTGCAGTGACACTCAGGAAAATGGGAATTCAAAAAAAAAGCTTTCTAATTAGCACTGCAGTGAACTTGTAGATAGAAACTGAACCAAGACACTGCCAAAGCATTAAAGCTTTTGCCTCAGCAAAAGATACACAAGGATCCAATAATTACTAGCGTGCAGTGAATTTTCTAGACATAGAAACCATTTAAAAGCAGTAGGAAAAATCCAAATATGCTGCTGACACACTCTGCAAGTCCCCAAATCTGAGAAGATATTAGACATACCAATGTATTACCCAACTTTATTACACAGACACAGGTACACAACCCTTAGCAAACAGCTGAAGCGGGATAATTACATTGTTCCCAGTTATTTCCTCTAGAACTTTATAGGCAAAGCATGTGAGTGCACAGTCACTTTGATGCAAAGTCCAGAAGCTTAGCTGGAACTGTCAGAGAAGACTATTCAGGCTAAGCTGTTGGACTTTGTACTAAAGCAGCTGGAAGTACTTGCACACTTCTCTTTTTGCCAGGAGCACTACAAGTTTGAAAGTTGACAACTGGAGTAGAAAGAACCTAAATCACCACGGCAAGTTGTGTCAGCATGTGTCAAGCTCCCAAAGACAATCATTAACTTGTACAGAGATCAAAATAGTTACAGGTAAATTAGATGTACACCTCTGCTCTGATGTAACAGTTCCCAGACAATCTTCCTGAACAGTAAGGATTCACTAAAGCAGAATGTTGCCCTTGTGTACTTTTCCCACAAACCTCAGTGACAAGAGAAGGCAAACGAGGACAGAATGCAGCTTTCCAATCCTGCCGTGTACCTGAGGACTGCTCAGCCATCACACAGGTGTCTGCTGTTCCCGCAGCACTCGCCCTGACCAGGTATCAACACACTTCCCAGAAGGTAAATGAATTAAGCCTCAGTACACCCGGTAGCTTAGCATCACCGTATCAAGGATGAGCCCTGAAGCACAGAGTGGAAGGATAACCAAACCGAGGCCACAAATCCACACAAGATCAGCGAGGCAGGACCGGGATCCTGCCTGTCAGTCCTTTAAGTTTCACGTAGTGACGCGGAACGACTCCACCGGCATGCGCGAGGAGCGGCCGGGGGCAGGAGAGAAGGAGGAAGCCGGGGAACCGAGAGCCCCCGAGAAGGGGGAGGGGGCCCTCAGCTCCGCACGGAGCTCAGCCCACGGCCACGGAGCGCCCGTACCCGCCCAGGCCGCGGCTCCCGCCGCCCCGGCCCCATCCCGGGGGCTGCGCGCACATCCCTCCCTCCTCCTCCGCCCGCGCCGCCGCCGCCTCCTACCTTGGCCACGTAGTCTTTCACCTCATCCAAGTCTCCGTTTTTGAGGGCCCACATGAACTCCTTGTCGGACATCGCGGCCGCCGGGCGGGGGGACGCGGGCGGGCAAGGCGGCGAGGGGCCGGCGGCAGCTGCCGGGAGCGCGGGCGGCGG